GCTTCGGTAACAGCCCACAGTGCGCCGCCAGCAGGCGCGGAGGCGATGGGCTCTCGGAGCGCAGGCAGTCAGCGGTGGCCGCGTGCGGCTCCGAGGACGCTGGGCTACAGCTACTGCTGGCGCTGCTGCCGCCGCTACCAATACTACTCGCCCCGCTGCTGCTGCCGCCGCCGCCGCCGTGCCCAGCTGTGGCAGCTGCGAGCGATGTCACCAGAGCTAGTGGAGAGGTCTGCGCTGAGGCCGCTTTCGGGGGGTCGACCGCCAGCAGAGCGTCGATGCGGAAATTTTTAGATTTTTCCATCGGTTCGTTTGGGGGCTGGCGTGCAGGGGCTGGTGGAAGATAGTGGTGGCGTGGAAGGGCTCGTTGAGTCTGTGCGTGGTGGTGGCCAGCCCCGGGGTTTGTTAGTAGGAGTAGTAGGAGGAGTAGTTTCTAAGACTAAGATTCGCTGACGGGATTCAGCCGAGAGTGACCATGGTCTTGCCTGCTCCCTGGCCCCAGCAGTGCTTGCACACCATACGCTCGCTTTCACACCCCCAAACTCACGCGCTCAGGCTGCTGTGCGCCGGCTCCGCAGAGCCCGGCTGCTCTGCCCTCCAGCCCCTCGGGCACCCACTGCAAAATGTCGCTGGAGCCGTAGTAAGGAGCCAGGCGCCCAACTCTTCTCACTTGAAGGCGCAGCGCAGCAGCGGATTGGCGCTCTTGGGCCAGGGAGCGCCCGGGGGAGGCGCCGGCGGCGGCCCGCGCCATTGGCCGCAACAAACACCTGTCAACGTCGGTGCCCAGGACCCGCCCCCGTCCGCCAGGCTGCAGCTTCGAGGTCCTAAAACTGTTGGGGATCCAAAGAGATTGCGGGGGCGGGGACAATCACCAGGGTTGCAAAACTGGGAGACTTGACCTGAGGGTCCTGCTCCCCTATCCAAGGCGTTTACGCACCACGCGGGCAGAGCAGCCAGCCGCCGGAGTCCTGTTCCTGAAACAGGAGGCGATGGCCTAGTTTAAGAGACTCAGGACTCGGACTCAAGGCGCGCACCACTGGAGCCCATGAACTTATTCACCTTATGCACGTGCAAGCCCTTAAGTGTCCACGCCCTCGGTCTGGTGGGGCTGCTTTTCAGAGATGATAGTATGGTACCCCAGTCCTGCTCTCGGTGTGTCCAGTGCACGATCAGGCATGCTTTGCTTTCCCCGGTGCCAACATTCTGTAGGTTGAATCTGTTTTATCTCATTTTGGATGACCCATGCGCTTCAGGTGTGTGTGTGGCGAGGAAGGAGGTAAGTGGGAGGGAGGGAAGTGGGTGTAAAAGTAAGTGCAGACATGAATTTTGGCTTTCACAACGCCGGATCATGGGTCCCCTGCCCCAATCAAGTCTGAGAGGGCAGATTCTGCCCCTGGACTGCGGGACCCACAGCAGTTTGGAGTCAAAACTATAGGTCTAGAGAAACGACCCATGCGTCATTGCACGGACCTGAGAGATGATTCTCTGGACACAAGTCGCTTCTGCCTGCCTAGAAGTGTTCATTGAACATGCAGGACCTAGCGACCCCGGAATACAACAGCTGTTTACCTTCTAAGACCTTCTAACAGCCTGGCCTGTTTACCTTCTAAGACCTAAGGCAGGAAAAAACAATGCAATCTCCTGCTGCGAATAGCATCTGGAAAATTAAGACCAAAAGTTTACCAGACAGAGGTAGTGGAATGTGACTCTAGATTGCAGCCCCCTCATGTGATCAGGGGAGTCCTGGACCACAAGGTCAGTTTGAACCCCAGGGTCAGAGGTTCAAACCCACCAGCCTCTCCTCAGAAACCCTATACAAGGTCACTCTGAGTCAGAACCAAGTTGATGGCACGTAACAACAACAATGTGATCAGGAGGGACCAGTCCCTGGATACTATCATGCTTGGTAAAGTAGAGAGTCAGAGAAAAAGAGGAAGAAAGACCCTCAAAGAGATGGATTGACACAATGATTGCAATTTTCAGCTCAAACATAGCACCAGTTGTGAGGATGGGTCACGACTGTGCAGTCCTTCTGGTGTACATAAGGTCACTAGGAATCAGAATCGAATCGACTGCACTGACACCTAACAACAGCCCATACACACATTTCAAATATTTACAGTTAAAGCACTTCCAAGTGCTTTGTGATGGGGCAAAAGAATCAACACCTGTAGGTGGAGGAGTCCTGCTGGCCAGCTACACTGAGGCATTGTCAATATCACCATTAGACCCACTTATCTGCCTCAAATGGGTTTGTGTGGAGAATGAGAGTGTCACAAAGCTCTGGTTCCCTATGTAGGTGAGAGTTGAATAAAGAGGACACTCAGAGGGCTTTGAGGACAAGCAGAGGGGTTTGAGGAGGGGCAGAGGATTGAAGGGGAGGGGGAAATCAGTATGAAGAAAACGTTAAAATGAACAGATCAGGTTAATTTAAAAAGAAGCATTTTTTAAAAAAAGTAATTATAGGCACTTTATAGGCTTTCTTCAGAATGCTTTTTCCCTTGGTGAGAGTTTGATTACAACAATTCTGTTGTGAAGGGCATATATTTTTAACTATAGCACAGGATTTTACTGAGCTATAATAGTACGGCTTGGAAAATTATGAGGATAGCAGTGGATAAGTGACTAGGAATAAAGCTATATGTTGTTAGTGCTATTGAGTCGGTTCTGACCCATAGCAACCCTGTATAGGGTTTCCAAGTAGCAGCTCGTGAGCTTGAACCGCCAACCTTGAAGTTCAACCAGCTTTGCAGTGCACAATTAACCCACAGCGCCACACCAGGACTCCTAAATCGCGTTGTAAAAAGTTACAGCAAACTAGTAGATAGAAGTTGCAGTATCAAGATGGTTTTTGCCTTGCCTCCAAATGATATCTCTTTGGGATGATAAAATCTCTGCTCCACTTTAAGTGGAGGGGGTGGGGAGAGTGAGAGAAAGAAACATTTCTTGAGCACCTAATACAAACTTTATATAAATACCTTCTTTCATTTTTACTGTGGTACTACTAGAAGGACAAGTTTATCATCTTCATTTTACAGAGTTCAGGTTCAGAGAAATGGAAGCTCTCATCCCAGATAAACTTCAGAGTTGGAACTGGGACCCAAGTCTGATTCCAGGGGCTATGAAGTTCTCATCCCACCAGACTGTCCTCTCTGCTGTTGGAGTTTCCAGCCCTATTTCTCCATCCTATCTATTCCCTTTGGAGAAGAGGGGTTTATAAAGGAGTTTTAAGTTTTCTGAGCTACCTGTTTTAGCAAGAGATCCTATGAGGATGAGTAATGATGTTTTAGTTGTTACCTTCTCTCCCCAAGGTAGGGAGAGTAACTTTGTCCCCACCTCCGACAGAGGTTTAACTCTAGGATTAGATATCTTTTTTCCATGTCTTATAACCCACTCCATCTATTGAAGCAGGTTGGTTGGTCCTGATAGCAATGATTTAGGAGGTTTGGGCAGGGAGGAGCTGTAAAAAAATTCCCAAGAGCTGTTTTGGTGAAACTGCTCCCTTCCTCTTCTTGTTTCAAATAACTACTGCTTGAGGGTCTCTGGTGATGGGGGATCCAGCATACCCTGTGTAAGACCACCCCCTCACCTCATCATCCTCAATTAGATCATCCTGTATATCTAGATATCTAGATAGATAAATACGGAGAATTTACTGTACCTCTTTTGTTTGAGACCTCAAAATCACCCTCATACCCAACAATCCAGGACCAGCTGAGCATACCTTCTTGAAAACACAGATTGTAAGAGCAAATCTGAAGAGTTAAGGTTGTTATGAGTCGAGTTAATTCTGACCCATAGGGACCCTGTATAGGGTTTCCGGAGGAGCAGCTGGTGAGCTTGAACCATCGACCTTGCAGTTCAAAAGGCTTTGCAGTCTGGTACATTAACCCACAGCACCACACCAGGACTCCAGGTCATGAATTCTAAGTCCTGGTCACCTCTTAATTGGCAATGTAACTTTAGATACCAAAGCTCTTTAACTTGTATCTTGATGGATTTCCATTTCTCAATCTAGAATGATTTTTGAGCTGGGATACTAATGGAAATCTCAGAGGCTTGAGTCTACCCAGAAGTACTTTGAAAACCCTATGGAACACAACTCTACTCTGACACACATGGAGTTGAAATGGACTCAACAGTAGCTGGTACTGGCTTAAATGGAGTCTGTGATCCTAAAGTGTTTTAAAAATGATCTTATATTGTTTCTGTTTTAAAATAAATTAATACATACTGGAGGTTCTCTATAAAGTTGTATACTGAGAGAAGGGAGAACAGAGCAAGAGATCCCGGAAGTTTGGGGTCTTTGTGTGGTTTACAATGTGTGAAGCTGAGCATGCTGGGATCTCTTCCTGTTCCCAGCATCTGTATTGACCCAGCCCAGCAGGCTTTGAAGAAGGTTTGGGAAAGACAGGAGCTGGAGTTGGGTCTTGGAAAGGGCTGGAATAAGAGATCAAAGCTCTGCTCTGAGTGGTACTGCCAACCAGAGATCTTTAGGTAATTATTTTCCCCAGCAGCCTCAGTGGCAGAATCCAGCATTGAGAGGAACAGAAAAAACTCTTCCCACAAAATCAGCAAAGATCTGACAGCCCATCAGTCAGGCACTTTGCTTGTTCCCATTTCAGCCCCTGCCCTTGCCTAGCACTGAATCCCTTTTTCTTTCCATCTTATCTTGCTTTAAGATACTGAATATTGCCAACAATTGTCCTTCCGCCCTCTTTTTGGAAAAGAGAGATGATATTTTTCCAGTCTCAAAAGAACAAGAGCTGCTTTTAACCTTTGTTTATTCATATTTGGAGGCCTCTATGGCACAAAAGGTTCACACTCATCTTTTAACCTAAAGGTTGCTTCTTTGAACCCATCCAGTGACAATGCAAAAGAAAAACCTGGCACTTTCCTTCTTTAAAGGTTACCTTCTATAAAAGGTTACAGCCAAGAAGATCCTACGGGGAGCATGGGGTTACCAGGATTTGGAATCCAGTTGAAGGCAACAGGTTTGATTTTTCATTCATGTCTGTAATTATATATAAGGTTGTTGGTGGTTATGTGCCGTGGAGTCGAGTCCAACTCATAGCGACCATATATAGGGTTTCCGAGGCTGTAAATCTTTATGGGAGCAGAAAGCCTCATCTTTCTCCTGTGGAACAGCTGGTAGTTTTGAACTGCTGACCCTGAGGTTAGCAGCCAGATTCATAACCACTGCGCTACCAGAGCCCCTTATATATAAGGTTGTTGTTTGTTGTTGTTAGGTGCCATTGAGTTGGTACCAACTCATAGCGACCCTATACACACCAGAACAAAACA